TCTGGACAGCAGCTCACAGCGGCTGCTGGCCACTCACGCTGGCTGCTGGCTACACACGGTGGCTTATGGCAACCCACTGCAGCAGGGGCTGCAGCCTAAGCCGTCGCCAGTGACCCATGGCAGCCCAGCTCCAGGTTGAGCTGTTGTACAGCATCTTAGCTGTAGAGGGCAGTGTCACTGGCCCTCATATGTGGGATCCGAACCGGGGCCCTCTGGCATCCAAGCCAGTTCTTAACCAACGCGCCACTAGGCCGGCCCTATACTAAGTTCTTTATTCTTCGGTATATTTGAAATTTTCCATAATGGTTTTAAAAAGCTCAGTGTTCTCTGCCCAAGGCAGTCTCCCCCAGAGAATCAGCTTTGGCTTTGAAGAGCTATGGCAGTAAGATACAGGCAGCAGAACCTGAAATCTCCAGAGAGCCACTCAAGGGCCCTGAAGGCTCAGAGAAGGAACTGATGTATTAGGTTGGGCCAAGCCCTGAAGGATGAACAGAGTTTTGACAGACAGAGACAGACATTCCTGGCAAGGGAACAAGACACAGAAGACAAAGGGGGCTTGTTAGTGGAAGGAACTTAACGTTTATTGGGCACTTAACACATGTCATCAGGTTTGATCCTCTAACAAACCTGTGAGGTAGGAATCATTCTCATTTTACCATGAAGAGACTGCTGCTGAGCGGTAGAGGACGGAGGCTGGGCTCCCACCCAGGAGGCTTCAGGTCCAGCCTGTGCATGGTGGACAGGATGGGTCTTCCCCTCTTACTCACTAGGTTTCAGTGGCTCCCAGAGCAGATAGATAGGGTCTTCAGAAAGGACCCCATGGATGGCAGACCTTGGCTCTGTTCCTTCTAAGGGCCAAGAGAATGGAGTCAGGCCTAGAGTGCAAGGCTATCAAACCAAACAGAAGAGGTGGATGGACGGTGTCTGTCAGGCTGAGGAAACAGCTCACAGAAAGGCCTGGAGGCCAGGAAGCCTGACGTTGGAGGGGCAGCTTTGCTTGTTCAGAATGGCTTAGGGGCAGACCCAAAGGGAAGATCCTGGATTCAAGTCCACATCTCCAGAAGGGGGTCAGGACCTTTAAGAACTTTGTTGAGTCTGGAATCCCGTTATTATTTCCCAAAGCAATTACTTTGCTAGTCTGTTCCGTCATGGTGATTAACAGTAAAACCCTCAAGGGAAGGATTACGGGATTTCCACTTTGTGAATTCCAACTGTGTGAGAAGCACTGCCTTTGATTTCTCAGCTCATCCTTTCTAAAACCCTGTGAGTTAGGTACTATTTTCCCCATATTATTTCTCCTATTTTACAGATGTGACTACTGAGTCTTAGGGAGATGAAGTGAGTTGCCCAGGGTCCCACGATTAATACATAGTGGATCTGAGATGCAAACCCAGGTATGACCGCAAAGCCTGCTCTATTTTTGGCAGCTGGGATAATGTGATGGTTGAGTATTGCAAGCCGGTCAGATAAAACAGGGAGAGGGGAGGGGGCTGGGGGCGCCCAGGCAAAGGAAAGAGCATGTGCAAAGCCCAGGGCTTCAGGTGGTTGGAAATTTGGCTGGGCAAAGTGGGTGGAGATGCAGCAGGCCCCAAATCAGGAAGGGGCAGGCTGGGGCGAAAGGACTTGGATTTTATCCTGTGGGTGATGGGAAGGCAGGGAAAGGTTCTAGGAGGGAAGTGGGCAGGTGAAATCTGTAATTTAAGATAATCCTTTTGGGGCAATGGGGATGCTGAATCACAGAGATGACCCTAGAGGCCCAAGACCCTCAAGAGAAGTGACATAGTCTACACTAGAGACCAGGAGGCCTGAACTGTGACAATGATGGCAAACAGGGGCCTGCTCCAAGGAGAGAAGACCTGCTTCTGAACAGTGGTGGGAGGAGAGGCTGCAGCTCTCAGGTCAGCCTGCCCCTCCCTCCACTGCTGTTCTCAGTCTTCTCTTTCTAGCCAGCGGGCCAGGCAGCGCTGCTTCCTACTACATCCAGAATCACATCCATCAAAGCCACTTACAGCCTCCAGAGGTTTTGCCACACTGAGGGGCTTGTAAGGATGGGATCAAGGCCCTGAAGCCTGGTGGGACCTTCGAGGCCTGGGGGTGGATGAGGCTATTGCAGCACTAAGCTGGCCTGGGTTCACCAATTTAACCACGTCAGTTTCTGGCCCTGATTTTTAGGTCCCTGTCTGTGAAATGGACAAGATCAGCCTGACCTCACAGGATTGCTAATAAGTCATGAATTAATAACCCTTGCAGGGTTAATAATAAGCCACTAGCAATAGAAATAGCTCACGGTGCATGAGCCTCTCCACATGGTAGGGGTTTATATATCATTTAATCCTCACAACAACCCTGTGAGATAGAAATGTATGTATTTTATTTTTTTTTAAGATTTTTATTGAGGAATTGGGGGGATGGGAACAGTGCTGGGGAATTGGGGGAAGGGGAACAGACAAGTTGCTCTCCTTTTGTTCTTCAATCTAGTTGTGGAGGACGTTGCTTCACTGGTCCAAGTTGGCACCATCATTGCGCGCTTCCTGGGTGAGGCAAATCAGTCGCCGGCTTCTGGGCAGCCGCTCACTGCAGCTACTGGCCGCTCATGCTGGCTGCTGGCTACATACGGTAGCCCATGGCAACCCACTGCCACAGGGGCTGCAGCCCACGCCGTCACTGGCGACTCACAGCTGCCCAGTTCCACGTTGAGCTGTTGTTCTGCATCTTAGCTGTAGAGGGCAGTGTCACTGGCCCTCATATGTGTGATCCGAACCGGGGCCCTCTGGCATCCCAAGCCAGTTCTTAACCATCGTGCCACTCAGCCGGCCCTAGAAATTTATTATCCCCACTTTACGGAAGGGAAATTGAGGCTGAGAGAGAGATGTGTGACTCCAGCCCGCTGAACATTCCTGGAGGGAGGCAGCTAGGGACAATGGGCATTGACTTTTCCTCGGAGGGAGATCCTACCCTGAGTAGGCCAGGGCTGCAGGCTGGCTCTCCAATGCTCACCCAGGATTTTGAGAGAGGAGAGGGTCAATTTGTTCTTCCTCTCTTTCTCCAGGGATGTGGGGATTTGTTTGGAGCACCTGACAGCCAAATTTCTGCCTTCAGCCCCAGGATTAGCTGCTTAGCTCCCAAACAAGCTTCATTTTAGACCTGTACTCCTGTCTGGGAAACTCCTGGCGATTAGAAACCACAGACCAAGTTGAAGGTCACTCCCTGTTTATTCACTTCATTTTAGCTGCTCTGATCTCCAGGAAATTCCTAGAAAGTGCCTGCCTCTTATTTGCTTTGGGGCTCCCCTCTCTACTTACTGGCTTCTTAACCTCTCTGGGCCTCAGTCTCCATATCAGTAAAAAGGAATAGCCATCGTACCTTCCTCACAGAGCACAGAAGTGCCCCGTGCTGGCAGCTGCTTCTTGTGCCCAGATCTCTGCTCTTAGCTTGGCTCCTTCTCCAGGTCTCAGCTCAAAGGCCCTCCCCAACCCCTGCTCTGAAGAAGCCCGCACTCTCAGTCCCATATCCATCATCTGTGGTCTTTATACCACTTTTGATAACTAGAAATCGTTTGGTTCACTTCTTTACTTGTGTTTTTATCTCTCTTCCACTAGAATGTCAGCCCCAGGCAGGCTTTTCTGTCGTGTTCACTGCTGTATCCCCAGAGCCCAGAACAGAGCAGATGCTCATTTTTAAAAATTGGATGAAGGAATGATAATGTGCTATAAAGCAATCATTTCCCTCTCCTGGCCTAAGTTTTCCCACCTGTGAAATGGGAATAATCATGCCAACCTTGCAAGATTGTCATAAGGATGAGTGAAGATGTTTTAAAAGGAGGAGGCAGGGAAAAGGTAGTGCACAGGGAGACCCACCTGGCCCAGCCACCCGGGGAGGAAGCTAAGAAGCTCACCCTGATTGAAAACCTCCCAAGAACCCTAGTGTGCAGACATTTACAGTTGACCCTTGAACAGCTCTGAGGCTAGGGACACTGACCTCCTTGCGGTAGAAAATCCGCGTGTAACCACACTCGGCCCTCCAACACATACACGGGTTCCCAACCATGGAGTTCACCCTTGACTAACGGATTTCAACGGTGCAGGTCAATTGGAAAAAGCCGCATATAAGTGCACCCGCGCAGTTGCAGTTCAAACAGTTCTGTTCCATGCTCTTCAAGGGTCAACTGTATTAGGGCATCATTGAGATCAATACCTGCTTGGGGTAGGAAAGCAGGATTGAGCAGAGGGAGGGTTTATCTGTGAGGTCACAATAGTGGCTTCAGTCGACCCCATAATGAGTGATAAAGAGGGGTTTGCCCTTCAGAATTGTCCAGAGGTGGGATAAGAGGGCTGGGCCTTTGGACACCCTCCCCCCATTAGATCAACATTGGATGGGGGCTGCCCCTGAGGGCTGGGCAGTCCCCAGAGAGTACGCTCCTCATCCTGCTGCACTCCCGGCAGCTGGGGGTGGGGGGCAGGGTGAGGGTGGGGTTAGGGAGGAGGCTGTGGGTCTTGAGCCCTGCTTTCTTTCCAGATCCAGAGCCAGCCCCTGGCCTTTGAGCCGGGGTCCTGGGCAGTAACAACCACACCTTAATCCCATGCTCAGACTCATCCAAGCCTGAGGACCTAAGGAGGCTCTAAGCCAGGCTCGCCCTGAAATTCCCTGCACCCATCCTCGCCTGTGCCGCAGCGCAGCGTGCAGACGCTGACCATCTCAGCGTCCAAGCCCAGGAATGTGCTGGAAATGGCCATATCCAGGCCAAGAGAAGAAAGAAAGGTGATGATTGTTCTTGTCATTCAATTCTCAGCAGGTGGCAGGCGCTGGCTGAGCATATCCATTATCTCATTCAAGCACACTCCATCCCCTTCCTCCTCCCCCCAGGTAGGATCTTCCATGAGGAAACAGGCTCAAGGACAGGAAGCTGCACACTTGCCTCTAGACCTTTCTGGTGGAAAGAGGCTGAGCTCTATGACCCCAAAATCCAGGAGGTGTGACTGTGCCAGGATACTGTTTATACGAACCCTTCGGGTATATTCTGCCATTTGTCCTTCAGAGAGACACTAACTCTCTCCATTCCCCGCAACACTTCTGAGGTTGGCACTGCTTTAGCCTTGTCCCTCAGAGTCAACACTGGCATGAGCCTGCATGCTGCTTCCTACTGGGAGTCTTAGGGGTTTGAGTCTTGATGAGCCGAATGCCCCCCCAGTCCTCCTCCAGCTTGATGTCCCCCTGCTGCAGGGCCTGCTGGATGGCGTCAGCTAGTGTGTTGAAGACCAGGTCCACACTGCAGTTGTTTTTGGTTGAGGTCTCCATGAAGGCCATGCCCAGGGAGGCAGCCAGCTCCTCCGCCTCCTGGACTGAGACACAACGGGTGCTCTGCAGGTCACTCTTATGGCCAACCAGGAGGAAGATTGCTTTGATGGGACCCTGAGTGGCGGTGACCTCCTGGTGCCAATCTCGGATGTGTTCAAAGGACCTTCTGTTTGTCACATCAAAGACCAGCAGGACACCCACCACGTTCCGGTAAAAGGACCTGGTGATGCACCTGATAGGGTTGGAGAGTAAGTTGGGAGAAGCTTATGCCTTCAGGACACCCCCAGAGGCAGGACCTTCCTCACGTCCACTGACTGCCTCACACTCCTCCCCCATTATAACCCATTTCACACTGCCCTGTGCTTCTCTGTTCCTGGAGTCTGTGTCGCTCCCAAGAGACTGGGGAGCAAGTTTGAATCACATACTCTCCTGACCATTCCTGCATTCCTGGAGGATGCCTGATGCTTTCCTGATTGCATGTCTGTTTCCCCCTTTTTTTTGCCTGGCAAACTCCCATGCATCCTTCTAGACGGCCTTCTCTGTGTTCCTGTGGGCTCTCTCAGCACCCACATCATGCACCACCTCCAGGTTTCAAGGTTGGGTCGTTCCCCTTTGCCCCCAAGGTCTGAATGTCCCTCTGGGGGCACCAGGTCTCACGCATCTGGCTCCGGGGTTTGGCCCACCCGGCTGTATCTATAGGTTGAATGACTCAAGAGTGAGGGACCCGAGACCCAGGACAGGGACACCTAGATCTCTACTTAGACCACTGAGGCTAACCCCTCTGAGGGATCCCCATGGCAGCTGGACCCGCGTTGATCCCTCGGAACCAGAGGTCCCTCACCCTCTTGTCCCAGCTATCTTTCGTCCTTTCCCCGCCCACCTCACATCCACCGCACCCTAACCCCACCCCGCACCTGAAGCGCTCCTGGCCCGCGGTGTCCCAGAGCTGCAGCTTGACGCGCGGCCCCGCCCGCAGCTGCAGCGGGCGGCTGTAGAACTCGACGCCCACCGTGGGCGCTGACTCGGGCTCCGGGGTCCCGGTCGCGCCCTCCACGTAGCGCCGCAGCAGCGACGTCTTGCCCACGGCCGCGTCCCCAAGCAGAGCGATCCGAAACTGGTAGCGGCAGCCCCCAGCCTCCATGGCCCGCGTCTGGCCTCCTGACTGCCCCACGGTCATTGTCCCGCCCCGCCCGTCCTCCACGGCCGGGAAGTCTGGCCCCGCCCCCGCCCCAGATGGTCACTGAGCAACCCGACGTCAGCACAGGGAGACCGACCCGCCAGGAAGCTGGCGGGTGGAAACACTTGGGCAAGTCACTCTCTCTGAGCCTCAGTTTACTCCTCTGTAAAATGGGAATAATACTAACCCCTACTTCACAGGATGAAGAGAATAAACTAGAAAATGCCGGGAGGAGGACTAGGAAGGAACGATAATCAAACATGCGCTGGCTTAAGACTAAATGCTAGAGTGGTCACATCATTCATTCATCCATGGAATGGTTTCTCTCTCCAGCCCCATCTCCCGCTAGTTCCCCAGCTGGGTTCCTGCTGCTGGACCTGGAGCCTGCACTCTAGAAAGCTGATGGTTTACAGGTGCTCCCTTCTCCTCCCAGGTGCCCCTTTCCTGGAGCCCCATTGACCCTGGCCTGGGGCCTGCCAGTCAATGTTCAGGTTCAATGTTCAACACCCCCCACTGTTTCCTCCCTACGTGCCTGTGCTAGGTCCCAAGGCCCAGAGAAGGACTGGACCCAGTCGAGTAGAGGAGGCAGGACAGACACAGATAACCGTGATTCCGGAGGGAGTGCAGTTGGCCTGTGAACTGGACAGCTAACATTTATGAGGCCAGAGGGTCAGTTCCTTACGCTGTGTGGGCAGCAACCCTTTGAGAGGGCCATAGTGTGTCCATTTTAGAGCTGAGGAGACTGAGGCTCAGATGTGTGGCCTGTCTCAGGTCACACAGCAGAACTGGGACTCATAACTGGGTTTGTCTCACTCTTTATTACCCCCTTGATGTGCCACAAAAAGGGACTGCAAAGTAGTCCCGAAAGGACCAGGACACAGTGGGCTTGGGTTAGGGGCAAGGGTAAGGCAGGCTCATCTGCTTCCAAGATCCACTTCACCCTTTCCAATCTGACCTCTGGCAACCCAGGGCATCAAGACTGGAGTTCTGACTGGTCCCAAAAGGTGAACTTTACCAGTTTAACTTGTTTTAGCAAATTGGTGGGGTGGGGGGAAGTCCTCACTGTTGCAAACACTGCATCATCACATTTCCTCCTCACATAACCATGTGAGTAGGTGCTGTTATCTTGCCCATGTTTACAGATAAGGAAACTGAGGCTCAGAGAGGTTAAATAACCGGCCCAAGATCACTCAGCAAGGAGGACTGAGACTAGCGTCCTAGTCTACTCAAGGCCAAAGCCTTGTTTGTTATTTCTGTTTCTGGCTAGACAGTTTGGGGATCTGGGAAGGCCTAGGTTTTCTTCTGGCTAGCTCTAAACAAATTAATGAGAAGCCATATTTTCAGGTCTCCAAGTAATTCTGGCTCTTGGTTACCAGCACGGTAGAACCTGAAGGAACCCATCTCTGCTCGCCCCCTACTTCCAGGCGTAGGAGAGAGAGGAGCCTGAGAATCCAGGAACCACAAGGCACCTCAGAAAGTGTTTGTGTGGGGGAGGGATCCTCCCCTGTCCCTCTGTCCAAACCAAGAGAGTCAGCCCCACTCCCACCTGCCTCACGGAGTCCTCCATCAAGACATTCTCTCCACCTGGCTCTATAAAACTGGAAAGCATCTTTTGTGTCAGGTCCCTGCAGCTGCCCCCAGCCCCTTGTTTACCTACCGCTGGTGCTCTGAGCTCCAGCCATGCTAAGCACCTTTCACCTTCTCAGCCCTCTGCCAGGAACCTCCTCTTCTGCTCTTCAGAGGGCTCATTAACCCCTACTTCAGGCAGAAGCCCCTCACTGACTGGCCAATGAGGTCACATGCCCTTTTGTCCTCTGTGATATCTGTCTCCCTCTTAGGCTCAAGCCCCTTGAGGGTGGGGACCAATGGTTGTATCCTCAATGTTGTTCCTACACAAAGTAGGAACTCAGTAAATATTGATTGAATGAATGAAAAGTGCTATTCATTTATTCATTCATTCAGTCAGTCATTTAGTCAAATACCACAATAGAGCAGGACTCAGAGAGATAAAGGGTCAGAGAAGACCTCTTGGAGGAGGTGATGTTGAAGCTGGGTCTCCAAGGACAAATGGAGTTGGGAAGGTCAGGGAAGAAGGGCAACTGGGCAAAGGCAGAGAGGCAGGAAACAGCTTGAAAGGCAGCTTGAACCCAGCCTTCCCAAAAGCCTTTGTGGTCAGCGCACATGGACAAGTACACTGTCAGCATAGGGTTCTTTGAACTTCCTCTCCCCAGACACTTCTGCTGTGGGCTGGGGTCATGTGCCTGCCTCTGACTGCACCTGGCACTTGAATCCAGATGTCAGCTGTCCTTGCCACAGGCTTACTATGTGATCTGGGGGCATCTCCCCTCCCCACTTGTTTCTTCTTCTAAGTGAGTGTGGCAAATCATGGCGCCCACCTCACAGGGTAGCTCTGGAAGAACAGTGTGAGACAGCAGGTAAGGTTATGCAAATTTGCATTCGACAGATCTGGGTTTTAGTTCCAACTGCCACTTACTAGCAATATGGCTTTGGCCAAGTTTTATTCTATAATTAATTCACTCACTTAGTCATTATTTCAATAAGTGCTGACCATCTCTTACAGACCAGCAGTGAAAATAAAAACACACAATTCCTGTTCTTGGGGAGCTCCCATTGTAATGGGGAAGACAGAAAATAAATGTATAATGTGATGACAGAAAGCAATAAGTGCTATAAATAACAAGCAGGGCAATCAATGGCTTGAAGGGTGGTCTGAGGTGACATCTGAACAGAAACTGAACAGAGGTGCTCCAAGAAGAGCAGAGGTCGGGAAGAGGGAGCAGAATGAAGGAGGAAGTGAGTGGCGGGCTATGATGGCAGAGAGAAGGAGCCAAATCATGTAATGGCTTCAGAGGCCATCTTGGGGACTTCAGCTTTTATTCCAAATGTGTTGAGAAGGCAGTGATTTGGAGGCAGGTGAATTACATGATCTAATTTTTTTCTTGTTTACTTTTTTTGATATCTTTATTGGGCTGTCACTGACACACAATAAACGACACATTAAAAATGTACACTATAAGCAGTTATGACGTAAGTGTACACCCATGAAACCAACACCACAATCAAGATAGTGAACATCTCTTACCCACAAAAGTTTCCCCATGTCCTTTTAAAATCCTTCTTTTCTGACCTCCAGCCCCAGGCAACCACTAATTTGCTTTCCGCCACGAGAGATTACTTTGCATTTTCTAGAAGTTTATATAAATGAACTCATACAGTATGTAGTTTTTTTGCTTCTTTCACTCAACATTAAGATTGTATCAATTTTGGGCCGGCCTGAGTGGCGCGATGGTTAAGAACTGGCTTGGGACGCCAGAGGGCCCCGGTTCAGATCCCACATATGAGGGCCAGTGACACTGCCCTCCACAGCTAAGATGCTGAACAACAGCTCAACTGGAGCTGGGCTGCAGTGAGTCGCTGGCGACGGCGTAGGCTGCAGCTCCTGTGGCAGTGGGTTGCCATCGGCTACCGTATGTAGCCAGCAGCCAGCGTGAGTGGCCAGCAGCCGCAGTGAGCAGTCATCCAGAAGCCGGCGACTGATGTGCCTCGCCCAGGAAGAGCGCAATGATGGTGCCAACTTGGGACAGTGAAGCAACTCTGTCCTCCACAACTAGACTGAAGAACAAAAAACGACAGCAACTTGTCCCCCTTCCCCCAATTCCCCAGCACTGTTCCCATCCCCCCAATTCCCCAATCAAAATCTTAAAAAAAAATTTGTATCGATGTTGATGCACATATAAAGTTCCTTTTTATAACTGAGTAGTATTCCAGTGTAAGAATGTAGCACAGTTTGTTTATCCAGCCCCCCCCCCCCCCCGTTGAAGGACATCTGGGTTGTTCCCAGTCTTCGGTATTATAAATAAAACTGCTATGAACATTTATGTATGCTTTCATTTCTCTTGGGAAATACCTAGTAGTCCAATGGTGGAGTCATATGGTTGGTGCATGTTTTACTTTTTTAGAAACTGCCCAACTGTTTTCCTAAGTGGTTGTACCATTTTACAATCCTGCGCACTGTATGCGAGTTGCAGTTGCTCTACTTATCATCACTTCATATTGTCAGTCTTTTTTTTCTTTCTCTGAAAAGGTTTTATTATTCACAGAGGGGATGGAGCTCAGTCCTTAGCTGCTGCCATCCTCATGGCTGCAAAGACATCGCGCCTCTCTCTTCCTCTTGGCACGGATGTGTGTCCTCACCCTGTACTTGATGAACTTCAGAGCCCGCTTGTCCTTGGAGACCTTGAGCGGCTCCATGGCATGACACTCATAGCGGACAAAGCTGAGCACCTCTCGGATCATGTCCCGCATGAACTTAGTGTGCTTGGTGAGGTGCCTGCCACGGCGGCTGTGCCTCGGCTTGCTGTAAGTTGTTGGTCACTTTGTGGCCCTTGTCGAGGCCCACGGCCATGGAGTAACGCAGAGCCATGGTATCGTGGGGTCCAACCAACCTCAACCCTTTTAATTTTTAGCCATTCCAATGGGTCTGTGGTGTTATCTTATTGTAGTTTTAATTTACATTTCCCTGATGACTGATGATGAGTATCACTCGTGTTTATTTGCCATCTGTTTATCTTCTGTGGTGAAGTGTCTTTCAATTGCCTCTTCCGAAGGCAACCTCCCAAGACGCCTCTCCAAGAAAACCTCCTAGAGTTCCTCCCCGAAACCCACTCAGTTTCTGCTCCTCCTCAAGCCTGCTGCAGTCTGAGGGGAACCCTTTCCCAGCTTTGAAAACCTTCCCAGACTGACCTCCACAGTCACGCCGCGTCTGATTCATTTGGAGGCCCAGTACTATGTACAGGACGTTCAGTGAGTGCTAAACGAAGGCGAGAGGTTCTTCTGACCCTGAAAAAAAACATTTACTTGGTTCCCCTATTCCGTGGAAAGGTTCCCGCCTCCGACGCACATAGAGCGGGGAGCCCGACGCACCGCCCTGCGTCGGAGGGCGAAGGGACTACAGCCCCCAGAGGCCTGCGCGGCACGCTGCTCCAATCGTAAGACGCGGCCGCACGAGCCGGATCCTATATAAACTCCGTGCAGGCGCCCACCTGCCTTTTCTCGTCGCGTTCCTCCTGATGGGTGCAGTTGGGAAGGTGTCCTGCAGCCACCGACTCCCATCTTCCACCAAACCCACTATCCTTAGCCTCGCCGCCACCGGCGCTGCCCCCCGAGGCTGCGGAATGTTGAGTCCAGTTTGGAGGAGCCGGGCCTTGCGGCCTGCTAGGCCCAAGGTCCAGAAGGGCAAGTCGGCCGCGTGCGCGGGGAGAGGGGCCGGAGCCGGTGAGAGCCGCGCCCTTCTCCCGCCTCGGCCTGCGCAGCCCTGCGTGCCAGTGTGACGGGTGAGTAATGCCAGCAGCCTCCTGGGGTGTACACCAGTCCTGGGACTGACGTGACTTAATTTGGGGCATGCCGCGTGGTGGTGGTAGCCAGACCTTTAATTGGATCTGCCTGTGACAGCTACCTACTGAGTGACCATGGGCAAGTGACTTTACCCAAATTATCTGGCTGTACAACACGTTAAGGTCTCCCTGGTGGATATAAGGACAAGTAGAGTACGGATTTCAGAGTCCTTCAGGTTCTGTTTTGAATCCCAGTTCTGTCACTTTGTAAATTGATAGACTATTAGCAGAACTTAATTGATCATAGTCTGTAAAATGGTCCTTGAGACAAAACACTGGTACATAGTATAAAATAACTGGTATTTGGGACCTATGGGATGTCTGGTCTCTCTTGGGCTTCAGGATGTCTCGATAGGTGAATTTCAGTAGGCAGTAATGATGCACAGGATTTAGGTGAGTCTGAGGGCTGAGCAGCAGTTGGGGTTGTCCTGTGATGTGACCTAGATTGCCCTGTGGCCCTTATCGAAGCTGCAGCTGCTTCCACATAGCTGCTGTGGTCAACAAGGAGCCCAGAGTGAATTTTCCTTGACGGTCGCCGTTCTGTTTGCTGTAACAGATTGACAACATTTTGGGGAAATACAGTTCCTATTGTACCTGACACTTCTCAGGTGTAAACCTTGATTAAAATTGATGTTTTTCCAGAGGCCAGAAGAAACGTTTAGTTGATGGGGTCTTGGATATAGAGTTAACAGAATAAGGTTTTTGAGAAGTAGCTTGTTGAGGCCAAGACAGTATGGAGGGGCAGATGGAAGTGGTTTGGACATCTGTACTGGGAAAATCTAGTGGCAAATGGCAGAGATCTTGGCAGTATTTTTAGGTCATTGCCGTCAAAAGCTTAAGGCATCAGTACCAGGACTAAAGGGCAGTTAGTTAAGCCTTTGTGATTTAGAAGGGAACAGTAAGATCACCTAGGACAATTGTGTTCTCATCTTAGCTGTGCCAGATGAAGATGGCAGGATGACTCAAGTTGCATTCTGGTGAGGACTCGGGGTCATGACAGTGATGGAACAACCTCAGGACCTGGTAGGTTTCTTGTGGAGAGTCATTTGGAAGCTATCTGGTGGGGCAATACAGCATGTTACCAAGGGCTGTGGCTTGTTGTAGCCATGGGATCTCCAACTGCATGCGAGAGCAACCTGGAGAGACTTTGACAGCCCAGGTCAGCATAATACCTGCAGCTGCCACTCGCCTTTCCTATATCCTCTCAGAAACTAGGCTGAAAGCCTTCCACCTGAGTCTAGGTGTTTCCATCAACATCATGTAGATGGGCGTTATTGGACCAACTTTTTGGTTTAGAGTTTTCACACTTTTTTTCTGCAGGCTGCCCCCAAGTTTCCTGGCAGTGTCTAATAATGAAGAAACTGAAGATACCAGCTTGTGCTGTCCTTGTGCTTTAGAATAAGGTAAAGTTAGATGTTGAAGACAGACGGCCTGACCCTCCGGTTCCCTTTCCCATCGGATCTGAACACCGGTCTTGGTGGTCGTAAAAGGAGGAAAAGTAATAATTGAAGCTGGCCTCACAGTGCTTGTGGTCTGCTCTATGGCATGGGGGCTAGTTTCAGACAGGGCAGAATTCTCTTTGAACTTGTTTTAAAATGGGATAATCTTAGGCTTAAAAGGAGGACACATGTGAAGCTCTGGGCAATTTGTAGTGATTGCTGGCTAATGTTTTTATATTTATATGGGAGGGATTCATCAATGGCTTTCTTGCCTCTTGCTTGAGAGTGTCCTCTTTTTGTAGATTTGTTACCAGTAAGCTGTCTTCATGTGATTATGGATGTACAGAATTGGGTAAGTTGAGTGAAGCTTTATCACAACTTCCTTGGAGCTTCAGGTAGTGCTTAACTATTGTGAACCCTACGAAGTGTAGCAAATAGATATAAGGTTAAGGTTACTCAGGTCTATAGAAATCTCAGCTTTTAAATACATCATTCACACCGGCCTGTGTACTGTAGTTGTTAGCTGTTGATGGCCAGGGAACGAAAATGTTTCCAGTATGACTTGGTCTGTTCGATTTGCCCACCGTCAAGTCCAACAACACCTTCTGCTGTGAACAGAATGTAGCAGAAGGGACAGCCCTGCACTTTGGATGCCAGTGATTTGACTGGGGTAACAAACCAACGGGATCTTACCCCTTCCCCAGGGAGAGGAGATGGATTGGATAGAAACAGGTAGTTGCATCTAGTTCAGGGTATTTTTTTTAGGGTGACTGGTCCAGGATGAAACCTAATCTGAGTGGACATCTATGGATGATAAATGCGGATATGGGACTGAGACCAGCTTTGAAAATGCCTGAGTGGCAGTGATTAATTGAGGCAGTATTAACACACTGGCTTATACTTCCTTTTCAGGAGAGAAGCTCTGGGAAGAGGCAAACTAAAAGACTTGGAGGAGACAACCAGAACAGAAAATCCCCTCAAACCCCTCCCCTATTCCCCTCCACCTGCTGGTTCTTGAACAGGCCTTTGCCCCACCCTGAGCAAGTATGCAAGGCATTTTCCCCAAGTGTCAGGTCCCCTATCAGTCCCCCGTCCTTCCGACCCTGCAGCATGGATGGTTTTGTGCTACATTCTCTTAATAAACTCTTGATGTAATGTAATGCTGGAGCTGTCAGCTTCTTTCTTCAGTCCCGGCCCCCTGGAAATTTTCCCAACAGTTATTTTAGGTGGAAGCAGTGACCCTTGTTTTTTGCTAATGCTGGTACCAGGTTTATACGTGACCACACACACACAAAGACTGGGTATCACTTTCTTGATGTCCCTCATAGTTTGTTTTTTTTCCCTTCCATAGACCCAAACTGAATTAGTCTCAATCTCTTCATAAAAAAAGACTGACCTCTCAGAAAGGACAATATGGTATGTTCCATAACCGCAATTAGATGTTTCTCCTTTGCTGAGCCTAACATTGGTGCTTCCTTAAAGATCTTCCAAAGGCTTTTTGTGGCATAGGCACTTGGACTCAAGCTGTATCTTCCCACCACCCTCCCAAACGCCTCTTGCATGAAACAGATCAGATGCAGATTGCTAGCATAGACCCAGGAGGGTCCTGGAGATGACAATGTAAATTGGAAAATGGGATTTCCTGATTTATTTGGAGAAGAATCACAAGTGATGTGTAAAAGGTCTTCAATGCATTTTAGCTGACTGCTATCACTTCCTAAGGCACACTGGGCCATGCAACTTCTTCCCCTGCTGGAATAGTCTTTACTAGTGGCTAGACTTCAGGCAAATGGAGGGGGAAAGGGGGTACCTGAATGGCAGATGAAATTGCCCACCATTTGACATAGCAGGTAATCCTTGCATTCTGATGCCAGACAGCCTTGAGGACTTCAGTGCCTGTCACCTGAGAAGGGTCCCTGGCTTGACTGACTCATAGGGTAACTGCACTTGGGTTTTCCAGTATGGAAAACTACCTGGATAAATGTCTTGACAACACGGGACCTTATTCAACCCTCTTCCATAGTTGGTCCCTTGGTTTTTACACTCAAATGACTCACTGTATCAAATGAAGGCAGCAGTGTTGCAGTAATAGAATCCCAGGAAACAGCTGATTATTAAAATCTTATAAAACATCCAAAAAGGTAAAAGTTCAGTTTTAAAGGAGTGTCTTATCTCCCTCACATAGTCCATTCTGGCTTGTTCTTTGTCCTGGCTACATCATGGCAGGGATCTCTGAAGATACCGTGTCCAGGGGCTGCCAGTGGCAGTCCATCAGTGCGTCGTACAGCTCCTCACTCTGCTCCATGAACTCCTTGTTGGCCTCAGTCACATCCAGCTGCGGCATGGGGTCTGGAAGAGAGGATGCGTTTAGGGAGTGCCTAGAGGAGAAGCACTTAGCAGCCATCATTGATGGGTTCAGTTCCCTACTCCCAAGACTTCCTATCTGTGTCCCAGTTCCCTCTTTCCTCACAGGGCCTAATAAAACTGCCTTACAGGGTTCCTGTGAGAATGGAAATAGGATAATGTACTTACTAAATGTAATGTGTAATTAATACTCAATAGTGGCAGTTATTCCACATTTATTAAAAGCTGCACCTACATCTAGCAATCACATGCCCTGGATTTTCTGGTGCGGTTCTTATTTCAGTTTTGGGTTTGGAAAATCTGATCAAAATGACTAAGTCTAAAGCACTGTAATTCTTAGAATATTATGTAGCACTGAAAATGAACTTCGGCTGCACACAACTTGGGATGGATTTCAAAAACTACGTATGACATTACATAAAGGTTAAAAACAAGCAAAACTAAACCAGATCATTTAGGGATACCTATGATAAAACTAAGAAGGAAGGAAATGGTTACAAGAGGTGATCAGGGGAAGGATGGCTTCTGGAGGCTGCCAATGTTCTACTTACCCCCGAATGCAAGTTTCATGGGCAATTGCTTTATGATTCATGTTAAAACTAGACATTTCCTTCATGTACTTTTCCATATATGTGTTATCTACTTAAAAGTTAAGAAAATCTAATTGGGAAATTAAAGAAGACCTAAATAAAGACATCCCATGTTGGATTGGAAGATAATTTTAAGATGGCAAAATTCCCCAAATTGATCTACAGATTTAATGCAATCTCTACCAGAATTGCAGCTGCCTTTTTTTTTTCCCTGCAGAAAATGACAAGCTGATCATAAAATTTATATGGAAAGGCAAGGGATGCAGAATAGCCCAAACAATCTTAAGAGCAAAGTTCAAGGACTTCCCCATTTCAAAACTTACTGCAAAGCTACAGTAATAGACTGCCAGTGGACTAAGGACAGATATATAGACTAATGGAACAGTCTTCAACAAATGGTGTTGCGACAACCGTCTATGTATGGCGACTGTTAACTAGACTTCTTGTGGTGATCATTTTGCAATATATACAAATATTGTATCATATACATTTGAAACTAATACATAATACAAATATAACACATACATTATGCAAATATAATGCATATCAATTATACCTCAATTAAAAAAAGACTACCATTATTTAACAGATCCTCTAGTGCAGCGGTTCTCAACCTTCCTAATGCCATGACCCCTTAATACAGTTCCTCATGTTGTGGTGACCCCAACCATAAAATTATTTTTGTTGCTACTCTATAACTGTAATTTTGCTACTGTTATGAATCGTAATGTAAATATCTTTTTGTTTTCT